GTATTAATTTTCGTCGGACTTTTGATCTATTTTGTATTGCCGACATAACTGCGCAAGCGATTTTGGGGTCTTACGGTGTAAGGGATAAACACTAACCCTAACTTCTAATCGAACTATGAAGAAAAAGCTGAACACCCCCAAAAAATTTTTAATTTTTCATAATAAAATAAGTTAAAATTTCAGCATCATCCCCGAAAATAATTATTTGATATTTAAAATTTTCAGTTTTTTTCCTTATAAATAAAGTATCAAAAAAATGGCAATATGGATACTATTTATTTATTCGTATAATATAAAAAAACATACAGTTGATGCAAAAGAAATCAAGTTTCAAATGTTACAAAATCAATTGTCAAAGTACATATTACCACAAAAATTTTGAAAAAATTTGTGAATTTAGACAATATCAACCATAATTTTAAATATAATAAATGAAAATTATTTTATGGTTTTTTCAAGACTTTATCTAAATCATCTATCTTTCTTTGTAAGTTTTTCATTACTGCCAAGACATTTTGTAAGTCTTGATAAACGCTACCAGTCGCTTGAGTTGTTTGTGTGATGTTCCTCATTTCAATTAAAAGTTCTTGGGATGGTTGACAGAAATCATATGTCGTTACCTTTTGTAAATCGATTTTTCCTGACATATTTTTCTAAATAGATATATATATTTTAAAAAAATTAAGAATTAATTATAATTTAAATCAGAAATATAAAAATTGAATATACCTTTAGTGTAGTATTTTAATTTAAAAATAAAACCAGGAAGAAATTCTGGTCGTTTAAATTATCTAAAGCTTGCTCTTATATAATTTTTCACTCGTTCAATCATCTTAATCAAAATACAATGAATTCATAAGTTTACGCAGATTTCTATATTGCAGAGACGCAATTGTGCATGAGATTACGATATACGCCATTGTGCATGAGATTACGATTACTTCAATTGGAAATTTTTAATAGCCACATTGTCATAGAAATTGGCGTTAATCTATAACATGATAAACACGTAACTATAATACGAATATGCGACCAATTTTACCGAGCCGTTTTTCAAATTTCCTTATTTCAATCAAATTGGGGACTCACATAGGTTAACCAATCAAATCGTAAAATTTTTACAAGGCAAAGAAAAACAAAACCTTAATTTGACGCAGTTCCTAATTTGACGCAGTTCCTAATTTGACGCACGATGATATCTTGTGAACTGTCGATCAGAATTACATGATTCTGGTACCATTCGATTCGTCTCATCGAGACGAATCGAACAGTAACAAAATCAGGTGATTCTGATCGATAGTTCTCGAGATATTCTATCTACTCAAAATAGCCTAATTTGACGCAGGTAAACGTTTACGATAAATATCATGAGATGTATCAATCAGAATCGCAAGATTTTGGTACCATTTGATTCGTCTTATCGAAACGAATCGAATGGTACCAAAATCTTGCGATACACCACATGATATTTATCGTAAACGTTTACCTGCGTCAAATTAGGCACTATATCAAATTAGGAACATATGCTTTAGACAATCTTTAATAAGTAATATCTCATAATTTAGTGATTAGAATTGGATGGTTTTGTACCATTCAATTCGTCTCAATGAGACGAATCAAATGATACTAAATCATCCAATTCTGATCGATATATCATGCGATATTTATCGAAAACGCTACCTGCGTCAAAATAGACATATTTCCTTAAGAAATGAGTGCTTAAACCCCTCTTAGAGCACTAATAAAAAATACCGGGTGAGCAATTTTACTTATAATGCTTGCCCACTCCCTGACTTCTGAACAATCCTAACCCAATCCCTACTTCTGAACAATCCTAACCTTAATTTTAATTGTTCACTTTAGTATACTTCCAAATGAGGAAATCTGAAAAACGGTTGAATTCATGTGATAATATACAAAAGCTATGGTAATACATATATGAGTAAAAACTAGATTCGGGATATACTGATATAAAATTTTTTTGTCATACAAATTTGCCCACCTTCTAAAGGAAGTGAGTAAATTATGTGTCACATTTTGAAGTAACTCAACAAGATGCAGAAAATGGCTAGGCGTTTGCGGTAGTAATGGGTTCGGTCGGTTACGGTCGATTATTGTCGGTTATTGACTCATAAACAATCAACTACGATCGGCCAGTTAACCGGTCAAATAACAGTCAAATGACGGCCAAATGACTGGTTTTTTATTACCTAAACCTGAGACAGGACTTTCCAATTCATCCGTCAAATCCAATTCATTAATTCAATTCATTCGTCCAATCAAGACAGTGTCAGTATACATTAAACAGCATGGGTGGATTGATTTAATTATCTAAAATAATTATGATCCAGAAAGAACTTATGATTTACCTATTTTCTATTAACAAATCTTTGTCCACTTTCCACATACGCATTAGTAGTACTACAAAAATTTCTCACAGGAAATTTGTCATATTATTGTTTCATGTCACATTTATATTGAGAGATTTTTAAGCTTGTCACGGGTGATTAAGATTGCTATAGAATGTATATTCACAGCTATGAATTCTATAGGATCTCTCAATTACTGTTTAATATAGCATAGACAATGATTATTATTGGATCTTAGCAGGTGAAGAATTTCTCTAGACTATTGATTCATGGTTTTTACTATAGATTTAATCAAGTTATCAAATAAACCTAAAGAAAGATAATTATGTAAAAATATATGTTAAACTTAAATAGTAAATTTCTTAAATTTAATTAGATTATCGATTTCAATTAGAAAATTATTTTCCTATTTCTCCACTAAACCAATGAGCTTAAGATACATAATGTAAAGATCTGTAAATACTATAAACCTAAACAACACTTTAAAAATAATGATTAATAGTCTGGCGATTAAATGCGAATTACATTATAGTGAATCAAATGTCAGGATTTTAACCGATCGGTCAGAAACCTTTGACCGACCGACATCTGTTACGATATGACCGGATAATTATAACTGAACTACCCTAGTACGTACGTACTAGTACGTACTTAAGGCGTAAGTACGGTGTGGGAAATTTAAACCTTTTATCATTTTACGTATATGGGCATCAAGCTATATTTGTCATTGGCGTGCAGGGACCGGAAAATTTTGGATTTTATTTATTATTATGGCATTTGAAATTCATGCAAGATTTTCCGATCCCTATTGGCATGCTATTATATGCAGATTGATGTAATAATATCAGATTCTTTATCGAATTCATTGAGAAAGGTGCTTTAGAACGCCCTTAATTGATGTCTATATAAAGGAATCGTCTAAAGCAAGGTAATTTTTAAGTTGATTAATAATAAATTTGTAAAGTAAAAGTCACATGAGGCATATAAATTACTACTTGGCTTTAGACGATCCTTATATAAAGTAATTAAAAGTTTTAAATTTCCCACACTGTACGTGAAAGGGTAAATTACCACTCCCGAATATTACTGCGGTCCTGACAAAATACAATTCTGAAAATTCTAATTATGATAATCCCAAGAATCACGAAAATCCCCAAAATCCCAGAGATCCCTAAGAGATCTAAGATATCTAACATCCGTAGTATCGTAGAGAACCCTAGAATAACAAAGATAGTGGATATATTAGAGATAGAGTTCTTAATATTTCAATATCTACATTGTATTCGATATATGTATTATCTCAATTATCTCAATTATTTCATTACTATGTAAAAATAAGCATATAAGCGAAGCCATTTCGCTCTCAATAAAAGATAACTCTCAGAGTTCGAAACTTTCTAAGTTTTTTTAGTAGAAATGTTTGGCTCTACCATCCCCGATAAGTAAATCTGTAATAACGATAAGAATTAATCACCAAATCCCGTGATTCTGCACTAAGAGACTGACATCCCTAGCTCTCTCACAAAAAATTGTTAACCCCCTGTAATTTTGACCAATCGAATTTCAGGATCAAGTGTAACGTAAAAATCGAAACGAATAAGAATAACTCTAAATTTTAATTTGGAAATCACCTTCTGCGGCCTAATTAAAAATGTTCCTTGTGATGTTTTACTAATAAGCATTATATTATTCTAATTCTAACCCTAATTATAACACGGTTTTCTTGGTTTCATTTTGCGCGTAGCTTCTTTACTTAGAAAACAAAACACGTTTGTTTTATGGGAACGCTACCTAAAATCTAAGAGACTCGTGACTAGTGTTGGGAGGTGAAACTATTTTTGGCAAATGGCGAAAGACGAAACTAAACCCGGCGAAAGACGAAGCCAGGCGAAACTCTGGCGAAACCCCTGGTAAAATTGAAACTAGGAAAAGTCAAAACTCGGCGAAGATCAAACCCTCTAAGACTTTAGAAAAGACTGAGCCATGTTAGTAAATCAAAATATTTTGCATGTGGCTATTAAGCACAGCATGTGGCTATTAAGCACAGCATGTGTCTTACTTAAAAATGTACAAAAGCAATAAACAAAGTGACAACCTTTCGTTTGTATTCAAGTACTCTTAAAGAAGTAAATTCAACCTTGAAAATTCAAAGCCTAAAATCTTGTTTTCTTTTAGTTGGGACGGGGTTAATATATACCAAAATTTCGCAAGAAATGTTTTTTTTATTATTACCCAAAAGGTGGTTACGTAAAGTTTTGAGTTATAACCAGTTTTTTTAAAGAATGCAATTGGCTTTCTATATATCCGTGTACGTATATACACGTATATAGTGTACAAATAGAAATTTCCTATAATAAAATTAAAAATTATTAAAATTTTTATTGTAAAAAATATATGAATAAAATATAACATTATATAAATATAGAGAATTTCTAATTTTCACCGGGTGGAAATCACCGCATAATCACGTGACCAACTATTTTATTATAATACTACATTAATACTATGTGCCAATTATATTATTGGTAGCCATTTACCCTTCATAAAAATTTGTCTATGTGATTATTGAACCAATAAAAATTATCATCTAGTATACCGTGATACAATCAGGTGAATTCAAGATATCTCTTTTTCAAAAATCAGTTATTTCTCAAAAGTTTGTATAAGAAACCCTTTCATGCACTAACAAAAAGATTTCTCAAACGATTTTACTAAATAACCATCTAAATTCTAACCTTGATGACCCTAACCCTAATATAAACGAATTTAAAGAATTTTCTAGGAGCGAAATTTTTTATAGTGATACTGGAGAAAATATTAGTGGCCTCGACTATCACGTGTATATGTCATACTGTATGTCGCATATAATTAACATGCTAATATTGATATGCAAATAAATAGTCAAATACATAAATATGCGTGATTCAAAAGACATCCTAATCTAAACATTGTACGTACGTACATACATAAAACTACTATAAAACTATAGTCATCTAAACCTAACCCTAACTCAAGCCCAATACAAACAATAATCCTAATGGCTAATCTAACTATATACCCAAAATTTTGGTAAAAATTGCATATATCATTAGGTTATATCTGTAAATAAACCCAACAACAACTAACGCGAAAGCATGCTAACTACATCCGGATACTGATTGCATGCATGAAAAATCTTATTTCAACAATTCTTTCCGAAGCTTACAAATAAAGACTAAACTTGATCTCTAACAGGAAATAATACTTGTATTCAATTAGTTATCATTCTTTCCATAAAC